GTGACCACGCGTCCTTACGTTGATAGCCAGGGCACACAGCTGGTACTGCTCCAGCGTGATGATCTCATGGTAGCACGGCTCCTGTGCCAGCTTCACAATCGCACTGGCAGCAGCAAGTCTCAGACGGGACATATCTGGTTTACTGAAAAATAACCAGGAAAGAATGTAGTTTACATTTTTTAAATATTTGCACAGAAGCATTCCTTCTCTGATTTATCTCATTTTCTAAAAATTATTCTGGCAAAAAAATTAGAAAATAACTTAGTGATGGTGAATACTGTATTATGTTTACTTAACTACGGAAATAAGGTCTAAATATTACAAAATTCTTCTCTTGAATGTCTTAGCTAGAGCCTTCAAAGCATTTAACTACAGAAGAGAGTTCTGAGCCCCACCTAGAACAAACCTATTCTATGTTAGTTGTTAGGTCTTAAGTCTTCCATTAGGGAATTGTTTTTAGATATTCAAGCAAATGCAAATTAGGTGTAAAAATACCCTAACTTGCTAATCAGTCAACCATGACTATTGTGCCCAGCAGTAGAAAGATGGCAAGTCTAGTGGATAAATCATTACCATCCTTAACTAGAGGTTCAGCTTTACAACTACTACCAGGAGGCTCCTTCTGCAGTGTAAAGGAAAGGGAAGTCCTGCTGAGCGGCACACTTCACAGAATTCCCAACTAGTAAGTGTCTCTATACAAGCCTTCCTAACACAGTGATATAGCAGATGGGTTACAGGGATCCTGGGTTACTGCAAGGGGGGAAAAGTTATAATTCCTTAAGAGGAATTCTACTGCTACAGTAAAGGATTATTGTACAACATCCATCTAATGAATGTGTCTGTTGTGTACACAGCACTGAGGAGGGTTTAAAAGAGAAGACGCACTCTTAGTCTTCCAAGATCTAATGTCCTGGCTGGTTTAAGACCTTTCACCTTTTGAGGGATTAGGTAAAAATACTGACAGAATGAATGCAACATGGATGATGTTCTGAGGTCTCAGGACACGCCCCAGAGGTGCTTTTTTGCCTGTCTGTAGCCATTAACAGGTAAACCACAGCTCTCAGCTCAGAGAGTACAGGCCAGCAGCCGGACATTCTCCTCACAGACACAGACAGCAGATGCTTCCTGCATGTTTGTCTTTAGAATGTTCTATCCAGACCAGTGGTTTCTACCTAGTCCCATGGGCTTTTGTTTTCTGTTTTTCATTTTTTTAAGCAAAGGAATCGTCCCTTCAAATAAAATCTGACACAAAAGTTTAAGGTGTAAACACATAAAAGCCAGCTTCCTATGAAGGCAAGGGCCAGAGGCCCCTCAGGCTTCACCTGCTATTTCCATTAGGCACTCTTCTTTTCCCTCAGGCAGCCCCCAAACGTTGAAGGATATGAATCCCAACAACAGCAACCCAATTAGGTCGACTACATTGCAAAACAGGATCCTGGAAGTCCCAAAGGTTAGTTCTACATCTTGTCAAGATACTTTTCCATGTTCTGGCACTTGTTGATTTACTTCTTCCTCAGCTAGTTTTCTACTTTCTGTTCCCCATTATATTCAGCTATGGTAACCTCTGCTAGAGAGGCAGCAAGGCTCAGTGGTGACAACCATGGACGCAGACTGCAGGCGGACTGCGCAGGTCCAGAGTCAGGTTCTACCATTTCTCAGCTGCCTTACTCATCAGCAAGTTATTTAGCTTTTCGGGTCTCAGATTCCTCATCTGTGACGTGGGGATAACAATAGTACCTCTTACAGGGTTTATTTGAGGACTGCATATATTGAAATATGTAATTAGAATGATACCTAGCATACAACCAAACCAAACCAAACTCGTTGCTACCGAGTCGATTCCAACTCCCAGCAGCCGTTCAGTGTCACGAAAGCCTTTATTATTTTTATTATCACCTAATACCACTCTCTCATTTGTGCTAAAGACTGAAGGTCTCCCAGACAAATCCCCAAATCCTGACGTCTGAGCTCTTAATCTCTGTGTGGTTCCGATTTTTCTGCTTCCCACCCTAGCTGTTACCCTTTAAGATGATGTCCACATCTCTTCCGTTCCCTCAGACAAGTATTTTCAGGTCTCTTTTCTGCCACCTCTTGAAAAAGCTCAATCTCATTAATGTAGAGTGATTTCAACCAACCATGTAAAATAAGATTTCTGAAGTCCTCAGAAATAGCTTAAAGAAAGGGGCAGGTTAGCGTTATCTTGAAAAGAAGACTGTCTCTCCTACTTTTAAGCATCTCTCCTAGTTTTCCACCAAAACTTGCCTTAGATCAAGTCAACTAGTTAGTTAGTACCCCCCAATGACTAGCCAATGGCCAAGAGCTCTTTTCTCTCTTTTTTTAAGGGGAGATCAAGCCTCATTAACTTGCAAGTACCAATCTCTGAGTTACTTCTGTTACTAGGTGGGGAAACAGCAGTACAGAGGTTAAGTAACTTGTGAAGGTCGCCTACCTAGTAAGTGGTAGAACCAGGATTCCAGTTTTTAATGACTATATCTTTCAAATAAACAAAATAAAAAGAAACAAAAAAGTGTACGTGTTTTCAAAAATTTATATTTAAATCTGCATACACCTATACATCTGTATACAGATTCAGTAAAAAGCCTTCCACCTAGTCTGTTCTTTTGCCTTTAGACACAAACAAGAATGCGTAACATCAGTTACTGATTAATGCACTAACACTTTCACATTAAATATTCAAAAAAGGAAACATCTATTGGTTCAAATACTTAGTATGTATAGCAGTATAGCAGTATCCTCGGCAGACATGTGACTGCTATTTTGAAAAGCATATTACAGTAAAAATATACGCACACCTACAAAGCCACAGTAATTATTTTTTAAAAAAAAGAAACTACACACTCCACAATGACACCAGGTGCTGAAGCACCATGCAGTCAGAGAACTGTGAGCTGTACTGCGTACCTGATCTTCCCCTGCTCTGTCAGGTCTCCATCACTATGCAGTATTGTTGTTAGCAATCTTAAGGTCGAAGTTCCTGATTTACTGTGATTATTTTTCATTCCAAGGAGCCATCGGACCATCATTTTAATAGCTTGAATCTATTTAACAGAAAATTCGACAAATAAGACATTGTTACATTTTAAAAGAATTTCCATATCAAATTTTTTAAAAATCAGGTAATGTTTTTAACAGATGCTTTTTTAAGGAAAAAAAAATTATTCATATCGACAGATAAATAGGTAGGTGACGGATGGATGGATGGAATAGATAGATGGGACAGATAGATGAGACAGACACACAGACAGATAGATAACTGGGAGTAGCAAATAAATGGTTTGACTAAGGACTGTTGGTGTTGTTTTTAATGTTTCTCCAACATGCACTCCACTCTTGAGAACAGAGTAAAATCAGCTAACTTCCCTGGTAAGAAAAGTTAAGTTTGCAACCTCAGGCTACACTCAATCTTCTGTGCCTGAGAGACGCTAACATCCCACAGCTGCACCACATCTCACAATCATGAAGTACTTAAGTGCTATCACACCCATTAGTGTCTCTGGTGTTCACAGCTGCCCTGTTTGAAGGGTGCACATCTCTTTTGTCAGATGACCGAGCTCAGGGACTCAGTGGGTCTTGCACAGTGTCTGGCCCATGGCAGACACCATCAAGATGACCTCTTCCCTGAGGTCACTTAGTGAGCATGGCTTCAATGCAGGTGGCTGCCTTCTAGTCCAGGGCTGCCCTCAACTACAAACTAAAAACGGGAGAAATGCTGAGGAAATGGGCTTATCTGGGAGTTGCCAAGTGTCAAAGCCTCATTCAGTAAGGGTGAAGGAAGGACAGCTCTACAGGTCTGCATGGGTCAGACCCTGAGGCTGGAAGAGCATGCAAACGTAGTTCATAACACGAACTGTAACTAACACACACACACGCGCGCACGCACACGCACACACACACACGCACACGCGCGCACACACACACTTTTATAAGATTCTACAAATAGAAAAAAAACAACATTTAATACATTTGTTCCTGGCCTTCCCATCTTGGGCAGTGGGATGGGGTCTGCCCTAGTGGCCAGAGACTGTTTGAGTAAATCAGTAACTCTCCACACCAGTGATGGCAACCTTGTGTGCACAGCTCCTAACTCAGAGAAAGTAAAAATGTTTACAGGCTGCATTTTTTAAAAATAAAAAGTTTTATTACACCCTACATAAAAGAAGAATAGTCTTATACTTGGGCTTTCCTCTTTACTGAAAAGGAGACGTCCGTAAGAAAGCCAGCACTGCTTTCTGCCATCGAAAGGCTGTTATCCAAGAAGCAGAAACATGGAGGCAGCTTTCAACCCTTTTTTTCTCCAATGAGATCAGGTGCAGCCGCCCACAAGACCTCATTACTGCCCTACACTCTCCTAGCACATAGGATGTTATACAGTGAATATAAATACTTCAGTGATTTTCATAGCCACATCATTATGACAGGAAGAGAAATTTTAACACCTATAGTAATAACTACAAACAAACCAAAAACACCCATCGCCATTGACTCGACTCCAACCGCATGTTTCAGAGCAGAACTGGTCCACAGGGTTTCAAGAGCTGCAATCTTACATCAATAGATTGCCATGGCTTTCTTCTGCAGCACCACTGGGGGGATTCGAATTGCCAGCCTTTCAATTAGCAGCCAAGAGCAAACTCTAGCCACCCAGGGTAATATGCATATTACTCACTTTGACCATCGTCTCAGGAGAAACTTCTTCATCGGGAACCCAAAGTTTAGTTGTCTTTTTCCCTGGAAGCTAAAAAAAAATTGAAGACTTTAATACATGAATATGAGCAGCCCTGAGGTGATAAACTGAAGGTGCTGGGAGATGTGGGTTTGGGTAGCAGCCAGAAAATTAAAGTAAGGTGGCAAAAAGATGAAATCAACCTTAGAACACCTGAGATACCAGTTTTTCTCTCCAGCCCCGTTTTCCCCCAGCTGACGGAAGTGACTTCCAGAGGCGGCCTAGGACACAGAAGGTGGGTGGCACCTCTGCTGACAGGACAGAAAACTCGAGCATGGGGAAGGGAAACTTCTTCAAACACACAGAGCCGGAGATCACACACAACTGTTGACTCAGTTCTTCAGCTGACAAGGGCCTTCAAGTATGAAGCAGGAATTATCAAAAAGGAGTCACATTAGGCATTTCCTGATAAAATCTCTGAACTAAGGATGTCAAAAAGATACCAAAAGCTTCCAGGGCAGGCTACCAAAAAAGGAACAGGAATCAGATCAACTTCAGATTTCTCAGAGTCAGATTCCAAAAAAAAAAAAAGTGCTGAATTTTCTGAAGCCAAGTGACTTGAAAGATAAAATTCTACACCCAGGACACTAGGATTCAAGAATGAGGGGAGAAATATTTTCAGAAATTTAAGACAGAGGTTTCCAAACTGCAAGACCATTGTGGAAGACTTACTCAAGATACAGTTTACACTAAAATATTTAAATCACAAGGAAATGTTCAATCAGCTAAGACCATAACAAATAGAAAATAAAAAATGTAAGAAGCAAGAAAAGGTATCATAAATAAGACCAACAGAAACTAGCAGACGGATTAAAAAACAATAAAATAAAACCACAACAGATATAACAAAAACCAATGACACAGAAAATCTGAAACTAAAGGGATGGCAAAAACATACCAGTCAAGATGAAAAGCACTGAACAGGGTACGGACAGAAACAGGAGACTGATGTAAACAGGATACTGCTTACATCCTAACTGATACCACCACCAATAAGATATAAAATCCATTAGTGTTTATACACCTAGCAGCACAATACACCAAAATAAACCAAAACAAAGACGAGAGAGAAAACGAGGAGACTGAAAACCCCACCCTCACCGTAGAAGACCTGACTGCACCTCTCTCAGAAAATGAAATGGAGGTGGAAAGGGTAAATACCTGAAATACAGGCAGAAATACAGAGAAATAAAAAAAGCAAGGACTAGAAAATCATTAAAACTGGTATCCTTCATAAATGATATGATTAAAAATATACTGATAAAGAGAGTTTAGCAAGAAAGATGTACGTAAGATCAAAAGTACAAATTAATTTGCCCAAATCAGCTACAAACAGAAAAAAGTTTTAAAAATTGGGGTACCTAACGTTAAGATGTGCAACAGAAATTTAAAATTTTTCTTTAGAGGGAAAATGGTAAAATTTTAATGAAAGGCATTCCTGAGTGTAAATGAATAAGCAAATCAAATGAGTAGAAGAGAGGCTAGGTATGACACACGTGTGGTGCCACTGCAGATCCCTGGCAGAGGGCCAAATTACTCATAAACTGTGCTGTGAAATTTAGTCATTCTCATGGGAGAGCAAAAGGAAATGGAATCCTTACATCACAGCACAATAAAACAAACAAATTAATTCCAGGCGGATTAAATTTTTTATATGGGAAAAGAAAACCTAAAAACTTTTAGAAGAAAACATGACAGACCATTTTTATGATGTTGGAATAGGAAAGGGTTTCTTAAACAATATATAAAAAGCATTCACTACAAAATAAAAGAATGATAAATTCAGTTACATTAAAATCAACAATTTTTTAAAAGGGAACATAATTTGCTGTGTAAGCTCTCGCCAAACACACAGTAAAATATTATTAAAAACACCAACCAACCGCCTTTGTCTGAGGAATAACACAGAGTGACAAGACCAACCACAAATGGGGCTTTATGTGTTTTATGCAGACATCGCAACATGCATCTGACAAAGGATTAATGTGTTTAAAAACTACTGACAGGAAAAAGACAAACAACTCAAAAGAGAAATGGACAAAAACCATCAAAAGGCGTCTCAGAGAAGAGGCAACACAAATGGTGACTAGACCTGTGAACTGTGCTAGTAATCAGGGAAATGTAAACGAATACTATAACGAGACACTGTTTTATATCGACTAAAAAAAACCAAACCCATTGCCGTCGAGGCTATTCCTACTCATAGCAACCCTACAGGACAGAGGAGAACTGCCCCATGGGGTTTCCCAGGAGCAGCTGGTGGATTCAAACTGCCAACCTTTTGGTTAGCAGCCGAACGCTTAACCACTGTGCCACCAAGAAATCTGACAAGAATGAGTGTTATACATTGCAGTAGGAAAATAAGTTTTAACAATCATTTTCAAAAACAATTTGGCAATAAACTGAAAAGTTAAACTGAAATTCTTGCTAATATGCATTAGGAAGGCTCTGGAAGAACATTTATAGCAGGACTGATGAAAAGAGAAAAGAAATGGAAATACTCTAAATGTCCACTAAGAGAATAAATAAATGATGACATATTCTCACAATGCAACAATGCAGAGCAATGAATGAGGGAACCACAGCTAGATTTAATAAGAAGGATTTTTCTTAGAAACAAAGATGGAGTGGGAGAAAAGCCAGTTATCCAAGACTATCTGGTATGATATAATTTTTAGAAAGCTTGGTAACGAGCAAAATGAAACAAATTTTTGTTTAGAGAGATGTATGTGGTAAAGCGTTTTTGTTTTTAGTTAGGGAATGAACAACATAAAATTCAATAGAATGGTTACCTGGGGCAAGAAGAAAGCAGGGAGAGTAACAAAACCAGGAGCTTCAGGAGTTCAGTGTGTTCACGGTATCACTATAAAATGTAAGCTACACTTACGGTGTGTACGGTAAAACCTGCGAATGCCGGAGCCTGTGTAAGGCAGAAGCCTGTCAGAGAAGGACAACTCAAATTATTTGCCTCTAAAATGCGTGAGCGATAGAAAAGTGGTAAGACTGCACCCTGTCAAAGGCAGGAAACTCGCGAGACCTGGAAAAACAAGGCGGTGCCGTCGGGTTCTCGCTCTCACGGGTCTCACTGTATACTCCTTTACACACGCCAAACACACTCTAGATATAAAGACGAGCAAAGAGAAAAAAACAAAAACAGCCCGTCCAAAAATGGAAGCCCAGCTTCCAATCATTCCATTCTTGACTGAACTGAGGGGATCTGGCAATATCTCAACTGCCTGTAAGATGCAAAAGTCACTCTTCTCTGGAAGAATACAAAATCATCCAGAGTCCTTGGGAAGTGTGAATGAAGAACTGAAGACTTAATTTAATTTAAACTTAACTCTAAATAGCCACTAGAAAATACTCCTTGGGGTAGGCAAAATGACTCAAAACAAGATAATAAGTGCTAACCATAAAGAAAAAAATTTGACAAATTGAGCTTCATTAAAGTCCAGAATTTCTGTTCATCAAAAGACACCATTAACATGACAACTACAATTAATGTGAAGAAACTGTTAAAAATGCTGAAATGGCAAATGTTTTGTTACATGCATATTTATCAGAATTAAAAGGAAAAACAAAGACGTCATTAAGAGAGTGAAAAGGCAAGTTACAGAATGGAAGAAGAAATCTGCAAAACATACTACCAACAGAATATATAAAGCACACTTCCTGTCAATAAGAGAAAGACTGACAATTTAATATGAAAACTGTGCAAAAACAGATATTCACTTCACGAAAGAAGGTATCCAAAATATCAGTACATCCATGGAGAAGTGGTGGAGAGCGCACCACTACACCGCCACGCAAGGCTGAAACGGAGACTGGCACATCCAGTACAGACGAAGACACAGTCCGACCAGAACGCTCCTTCAGCGCAGGCAGGAATGCTAATGGGCACAACTTGGCAAAATCTAAAACTGAACATATACATACCCTCAGACACGGCAACTACATCCCAAACAAAACTGCATAAATAAGAACACAAAAAGCTGTGTCAAAGAATACTCATAATGGCAATATGCATTAAACATGGACAACAGCCTAGACGTCTATCAACAGCAGAACAGATGAACTGTGGTAAATGCAAACAACAGAATACAATATAGCAATGAAGATGAACCCATTACTGCTCTATGCAGCAAGACAGATGAATCGTACCAACAGGATACTGAGTGAAGGAACCAGACATCATTGACTCTGATTTCATTTATATAAAGTTTAAAAACAGGTAAAAATAATCTGTGGTCTTGGAAGTCAGAATAAAAGCTGGATCTTCAGGGAGTAAGCACAGGGTAGTAATAAAATGGGACAGCAGGGAGCTTCTAGGGTATGGTAATATTCTATTTCCTGACCTGAGCTGCTAGTTAGTTGAAAATGTTAGTTTTGTGATAACTTACTGAGTTGTATGCACCCTTATAAAGTGTGTACTTTTCTGATATGTTTTACCACAATAAAATTTTTCATTTAAAAAAAAAAAACCATAAGGATATAGGTAATTTGAACAATGTGCTTAGCAAACTTGACCTAAAGGATAAACAAGCAGTCCCTTGATTACGAACACCCGACTTAAGTACAACCTATAGTTACGAACCAACCAAATGAAGTCCATTACATTAAAAATTCAAGGTACATACAGTGGTTTGTAACAACGGGCACTACTTCGCAACACACATCAAAACATTATTATTACTGTATTATTACGTTAAAGATGTTTTAGTGTATTTAAAAGTGTTTCTCTACTGTTTTTTACACAGAATGGTACACTAAATACTACATACTAAGACAAACATTTAACTAACTGATGTTGGATACAAACCGTACCTAACTGTTCCGACTTATAGACAGACTTAGGAATGGAACTTGCTCATAATCCGGGGACTGCCTGTATACGAAACACTTCGAGGAAGAAAAAGTGAGAAATACTCTCGGAAAACGTGACCAGAGGAACTGGCAGACGTGGAAGGGAACCTGGGCCTTTGGTCTCCAAATCACAGAGCTCTGGGCAGCTAAAGCTGAACAGCCACAAATCATTAGGGACCTCATATCTGACAGACACAATTATCTTGACTAATATGCCCACAAACTATTGTTCCATAACCAAGCAGTTTAAAATTATTAACATTTATTAATAAGATGGAAAAATAATGGTGGATACGACATGTGTGGCGATATAGTGACACACCTTAAGAATTCTAACTATACTTCTAGAGCAGAAACTGTATCTCACCATTTCTTTCAATTCTCCGGAGAACCCAGGACACTGCTGAGCGCACAGCAGACACAAAGTCGATGGTCACATACGTGTCTGGGCGTGTGTGTAGGAGACACATGTGTGCGTGTGCACACATACGTGTGCATGAAATTCCACATCACTAACAGGGATCGATTCTCCTGGAGACAAAAACGTTCCTTCTTTCCCAGTGTTTTCTCCCCGGGCTCTTTAAATTCTCTACCGTATGGAGGGAAAGGGCAACTACCGTCACGAAATCCACACTGTGAATTGGCTTGTGAGTCTTTACATTTTTTAAAAATAGACATCATCACAAAAATTAAATCCTGCAAAGTTGCAACAGGATTAAGAGACATTCTGCATTTATCAAAGACTGTATTTTCGGGTCACATGTCTATGATCAATTAAACAAATGTTTCAAGGCTGTTTCACTTATCATGGAGATTAAAAAACAGGAACACCTAAAATAAGGTGGGCAGATGGAAATGTTATTTACACCATTTCATTCCTGTCTGTTGTATAAAATTTTAGAAGAAGACATTATGAAAAACACAAGTTTAAAAAATATAAATTTACCCGATCGTTCATGAGAAGGTCTTTCACAATGAAAGTAGCTACCAAAGACTTCAAAGGAGCAGCAAACTGATCAGGTGCAAGGAGAGCAATGTGGCCAATGGTGACCAGCGGGGTGATGAGATGCTCCAGGTTGCTGGGATCTAGGCTCTTATGCAGAGGCTGAAAGAGAGGACAGCACAATGTATTCAGCTCTGTACACACGGAAATGCACTGTGCACACTCTTCATCTTTAAATCACAGAACTACAAAAGTTGTAATATGTATAGGCACGGTATAAATAGTAACTCAAGCTTACATTTAGACTACTGTTACTAATTTTTTTTACAGCAACATAGTAAAAAAAAAAATTGGCACAGGGTGCTTACGAACATACAGGGTTGGGGGGAGCAGGGGAGTGTGGTTGGCAAAGAAAGGTAGTGCAAACGTTATTTGCTTTAAAATGCAATAAATATGTTGATTATCTCTAGAAAAATACACAGGAAACTGATAACACTGGTTGCCTGTGGGAAAGGGAACTGGGTGATGGAGTGATTCTATGTGTTGAAATGTTTCCTCACCTACTTCTAAAATATGAACTTTAGTGAAACGGAAAATGTTTAACATGACACCTTGTACACATTATAAACAACCCATAAAAGCCTAAAGGGAACAGGAGTGGATGGAGGAGAAAATCTTTCGCTGTATACTCTTTTTGTAATCTTGTAACTCTGAAACAAGTGAATACATTATCTACTAAAACTTTTAATGCTACATTTTAATGAAAATTCAGTATTCTGAATATGCCATACTGAACACCAAGAATTTTCCCATATGGAAACCCTGGTGGCATAGTCGTTAAGTGCTACAGCTGCTAACCAAAACATCAGCAGTTCAAATACACCAGGTGCTCCTTGGAAACTACAGGGCAGTTCTACTCTGTGCTATAGGTTTGCTATGAGTCGGAATGAACTCAATGGCAATGGGTTTGAACACCAAGAATTCTACGCTTGAAAAGCAATATGAAACTATTCTTTCCCAACATATTAGGGCAATACGAGGTTTTACCCAGTCAAAAAACATATTTAAATGAGTTTAATTCTTGCTACTCTTGCTAACTTCCCTCAATATTCCATTGCACACCTATCCAAGTGCCAGTTTCTTGTTTATATTATAAACAAAAAACTGATATAGTAAACAGTTATTGTCAATTAGTTTATTATAATGAAGCTGATCATTTTCCACAATAAGTTAATAAAATTCTTTCTGAAAAGGCAAAACAGAGGACCAGACCCTGGATTAGTGGAAATTCACAAAGGCCAGGTATCTCCATGATACCTTTTCTCAGGAAGCCAGCCCACCTTACATGTTAGACAAGGATAGGGTTCTTTAAAAGATGAAACAAACTAAGATATAACATCAAAACGAAAGTCCCCTACAAATGCAGGTCAGTATCAGTATTATCTTCCTCACCGTCATCACTGAAGGGGAGAAAAAGGAGATCAATCAAGAAAAACAAAAGCGTCTATGAATCAACGTGAATTTATTAAAGACATTCTCGTACACAAAAACAAAACTCCCCCCCTCAAAAACACACACAAAATTTAAAATAAATTATTTGCTATCAAAAGCTATTTTGAAGATAGTTAAAGAAAACTACTTTTCTTCCTCCTGCAGTTGTTTAACATAATGCAACAGTGTGGCAATTATACATGAAAATACGGCAAAATGAGCATTTACATTTCTAAAACAGAGTTAAGCCTGAAAGCATTTACAGTAGGTAGCTTCAGCATAATTTTCTAATTGTTTTCACTTCGTTTAAGGTTCCTGAACTAAAATTATAAATTTGGGTTTAATATATTTTCTGTTTAGCTTTTATTTACAATAACAGTGCTAAAGATAGCCCCAATTATAACAGATCGCAATCAAACTGCAATGCTTAAAAAGGGTAACGATTATTTAAAGTATAGAGAAAGTAATCTGAAATATATATTAAAAGACATACTTTATATATGACACAAAATTAGGTCTGTCACAAAGGTATAAGCTTATTTACTTTATATTATAAACTAATATTGGTTTTATAACATCTTCCATTTCAGCAGTGTCTCAGAAAAAGAATTCAAATTTGTCAACACTATAAATGGACACAACAATTACCTGGTACCTACCACTGACAATTATGATTTTCAGATGTAATTACTTGTTAATGAAAAACTGTCTCCAGCTACTAAATCTATAAAGCAATGCCAAACGGTATTATTGTTTGATTTCTGAATTTGAGTTAACATTAAACATCTGAATAATCAGATCTTTTCATATTTTAACCACTTACCAAAAGGTGATTTAACAGATTCAAATTCTGAAAAAATATTATACAATCATGCATCACTAAACACGAACATTCAGTACAAACAATATTTGTTTACTAGAGACAACAGATAAAACAATTTTTTTTCTCTTTACCTCAAATATCTGTGCAAACTGGGTCTCTTTACTAGAAAATATCGCATGGATACAATGAATGGCATACTTGGCTTGCCGGGGGGGTCCTTTTTTTGATTTGTGATGTAAAACAGGAAGCAGGGCTCTAAAGAAAACCAAAGAAAAGCAATCAATCAGAAAGATCAACGCGACTTAGGCTAGAAACTTTAATGTTTCTATATTTTAATAAATGTTTTTTGAGAACAAAAAACGTCATGAGATCTACTCAGACTCCCTTTCAATGGTCTATAATTTTGCTTTGTAATCATCTACATTAAAAACATAATCCACATACACGTATTTTGGTTTTTTCCTTTCTATTCAATAATTATAAGCACAAACGAGCCGGTGACGCGCTCCCTCCATTTCGACGCCATCCCCACGGGGCCCTTCTCTTCTACTCTCACGGCTGTTACCGCAGCTAAGCGTTTCCCCCGCACACAAAGACCACTGGGATGGCACCTACACTCTTCCCTCATTCTCAGGTCTCTGCCTCCGCAACTTCACCTTTTGCTCTGTGCCAGAACACCACACCTAAAAGGGAAACTGATTACTTAACCAATACTTCTTGAGTACTTCTGTGCCAGGCACTCCTCGGGGCCCCACACCCTGGCCTCATGCTGCCAGCACAGAGGGGACAAGAGATGCGATGCCATGTAAACAGGCAGCGTATGTGGTGCGGCGGCTATGGTAACCGCTATCGACACCCGCCGCTGTCGAGTCGATTCTGACTCACAGCCACCCTACAGGACAGAGCAGAAGTGCCCGCAGAGTTCTTCACGGAAGCAGACTGCCACATCTTTCTCCATGGAGGAGGTGGTGGGTTTAAGCCACCGACGTTTTGGTTAGTGGCCAAGTGCTTAACCAATGCAATAACTGCTACAGGTACAGGAGAAAAAAAAAATAGAAAAGGAGGATGGGGCAGGGAGTCGGGGAGGGGGGACTGTTTCAATTTTAAGCAGGCTGGTTACAGAACACGTCTCTGATAAACTAACGTGTGAGCAAAGTTCTGAGGAGGTGGGGAGTAAGTCATGTACCTCGAGGGAAGCCCTGGTGGCGCAGTGGTGCAACACTTGAAAAGACCGCACACCTTCACTTGTAATAAATACAAATTAAAACTAAACCGAGAGGACGGCTGCTTCCAATTCTGACGGAGTAACCTGGGACAGAATTTACCCTCCTGCCTCAAACAACCAGAAAACAGGATACTGTTTTTAAACAAAGCCTTCAGACACTGGACAACAGGCAGCACCAGACTGTGATCCCTAAAAGACGGAAACACAGGAGGGGAGCTCTGTATCTGCCCCCGCTCACCGCGTGCAGGGAGCTTCCAGGCGTCATGCAAGAAGGGATCCAAATGTAGCCTGGTGGTCTCACTCACCAAGTGGAGGGAGACAGAGCTGGGAGTTCAGGGAGGCCAACACAGCTATAATGTCTAAGGTACAGGACCAGAGAGAGGAAGCTACAGGAGAGAGTGTGAGTCCTCGACCGAACAGTGCTGTCTGCCACACGTGAGAAGAAACCACCAGCGACCAGGAAAAGGACACCCCGAAAGCAGGAGGCCAAAACGTCCCTCGACACACAGGGCAGGTAATGGTTCATGTTTCCACCAGCCAGAGTTGACAGGTCTTGGAATACATAACCAGGAGAAAAATGAATCAATAGGAACAGACCTAGAATGGCACAAATGACAGAATTAGCAAAGACGTCAAAACAGCTGTTATAAATATGCTCCACGTGTTGAAGAAGGTAGAGGAACACATGAGCGTCATGAGGACAGAAATGAAATCTACAGAAAAGACCAAATGAAACTACTAAATCTGAGAATACAGTATCTGAGATGAAATGTACACTAACCAAAACCCACTGCCATCGAGGCAACTCTGACTCACAGCAACCCTACAAGACAGAGTGGAAATGCCCCCTAGGGTTTCACAGGCTGTAATCTTTACGGAAGCAGACTGCAACATCTTTCCCCCAAGGAGCAGTTGGTGGGTTTGAATCATTAACCCTTCAGTTAGCAGCAGAGTGCTTAACCACTGCACCACCAGGGCTCCTTGAAAAGTATACTAGATGGAATTAAAATCTGATTATATATTGCAGAAGGAAAGATTAGTAGACTTGAAGACACAGGTATAGAAACTATGTAAAATGAGAGAGAGAAAGAGACAAGGAAAAAAAAGAGAGGATCGGTGACCTGTAACACAGTATCAAGTAGTCAAAAACATATGCAATTGGAGCCCCAAAAAACAAGGTACTCCACTGCATTGGGAAAAGAAGAGAAGAGATGATATTTGAAGAAATACTAGCTGAACTTTTCTTTTCACATTTGATAAAAATTATAAACCCACTGACCCAAGAATCTCAATAAATCTCAAGCAGAAGAAAGAGTAAACCATTCTGAGGCACGCCATTATCAATTTGGTAAAAACTAGTGATAAAGAGAAAATCTTAAAGGCAGAGAAAAAAGCTACATTATGTACAGAGGAATAAAGAATGACTGAACACTTTTCATCAAAAACTATTCAAACCAGAAGTAACAGAATGGTATCTTTTAGTTATTAAAAGAACTGTCAACCTAGAATTCTATACTCAGCAAAAGGGAAATATATAAGATGAAAATTTTATAATAGAAAACATTTCAAATCAACGATTTAACCTTCCAACTTAAGAAATTAGAAAAAGAGCAAATCAAACTCAAAGTAAGCAGATAGAAGGAAACAACAAACAGCAGAAATTAATGAAATACAGTCGGCCCTTGGTATCCACGGGTTCTGCATCTGCAGATTCAACCAACCGCAGATCAAAGATGTTTGGAAACAAACAAAAACAGACTTCATCCGTGGATTTTCGTATCTGTGGGGGGTCCTGGAACCAATCCCCTGTGGATACCAAGTAACTGTAGATATAATCAACGAGGTATTTAAAAATAAAATAAAAAGATAGAAACAATGAAAACAAAATGAGGTTCCGTGAACAGGTCAATAAAGTTGATGAACTTTGAGCCAGACTGATCAGAATAAAAGAAAGAAGACACAAATTATTAATATCAGGAATGAAAGACGACAACTACAGATCCTTCAAACAATGGATAAGGGACTATTGTGAGCAACTTTATGCCAATAAATTTGACAATTCAAATGAAACATTCTTGGTGAATATTCCACTGCACTTGACAAATTAAACAAATTTTTGAAAGAAACAAACTACCCAAGCTCATTCAAGATAAAAACAGATAAACTGAATACCTATTAAAGAAACTGGGTGTGAAGTTGAGCACCTTTCCACAAAGAAAACTCTGGGCCCTGACAACTTTTTTCGCCGGTGAATCCTAGCAAACTCTTGAGGAACAAATAATACCACAAACTCTCCAAAAATTCGTCCAGAATAAACACATGGAGAAACAACTCATTTTATGAGGTCAGCATCACCCTGATACCAGAACAAAGACAATGCAAGAAAACATAACTGCAGAACAGTATCCCTCATGATGACGTATGCAAAAATACTTAACAAAATTATATCCAGCTGAATCCAACAATATATAATAAAGAGAACTCATCACGGTCAAATACACTTCATCCTAGGAATGGAAAGTTGATTAGCATTCAAATACCACTGTAATTTTTAAAGAACCATGTGATCATCACAATAGATGTTGAAAAAGCATTTGACAAAGTTCAACACTTCTTCATGATAAAAACCCTCAGCAAACAAAGAATAGAAGGATGCTTCATCAACCTGATAAATGACACTTACAAAAAACCCCACAATTAATATGAAACTCAACAGTCAAAGACTGAATGCTTTCCTTCTAAGGCAGCACCCAAGGCAAGGATGTCCGCTCTTACCACGTCTATTACCGTTTTACTGGAAGTCTTACCCAGTGCAATAGGTTAAAAAAATAAAAATAAAAGACATACTGATTGGAAAGGAAAAAGGAAAATGGCTTTTATTTGGAAAACACTATGATCATCTATGTAAAAATCCTAAGACAGCTACCAAAAAAAAAAAAAAAAGCCACTAGAATTAATACCTGAATTAGACAAGGTCACAAGATATAAAACTAATAGAAAAAAAGCAACTTTATTTCTATACAATAGCAACAAAAAACTGGGTATTGAAATTTTAAAACATACCATTTGCAACAGCATAAAAAGTATAAAATATTTAGGAGTACATTTAACAAAAGAAGTTCAAGACTTAAAAGCTTGCAAGTGGCCATCCAGGGCACAACAACTGGTCTCTATTCTCCTGGAGCAACAGAAGAAGAAGAAGAGTCAGGAACAGGGGGAGGAAATGGATTGTGTGGCTAACTGCTTCCATGAACAACTGCCTCCCTCGCCAAGAGACTGGAAGAACTGGATGGTGCCTGGCTACCATTACTGAACATTTTGATCAAAGATTCTACAGAAGAAGCCTGATCAAAAGGGAGAAGAATGTGGAAAAGAATTTCAATTCTCATGGAATCTAAACTTTCTGGAGCCACTGAGGCTGGATGAACCCCCAAAACTACTGCCTTAAGATCATTTTTAACCTTGAAACCAAAAACGAAAATGTCCCCTGAAGCCTTCTTTAAATCAAACAATCTAGCATAACTAGTAAAGAATGTCTGCTGTGAGCACTGTGCTCTCTTAAATAACGTATTATATGGTATCAAATTGTTAACAGCAACTCGGAAAGTTAGATAGGAAGCTTAGGGGGAAGTGAATTTATGTTAATAGGGGAGGAATAAATTGGAAAAGCAGGGTGAGAATGGATGCACAATTTAAAGAATGTAATCAATGTCACTGTATTGTACATATAGAAACTGTCAAATTGTTGTACATTTTGCTATGTATATTTTCAACAAATTAAAAAAAATAAATGCAAGACTGTATCCTGAAAACTGTAAGATACTGCTGACAGAAATTAAAGACTTAAATAAAGAGACATACCATGTTCATGGATAGAAGAACTCAATATTATGTCATTTTCTGCAAAATGGTCCAAGTCAACACAATCCCAACTAAAATCCTAGTAAGGCTTTTTGAAGAAAGTGACAAGCTGATTATACAAATTCTGGACATACAAAGGGCCTAGAATAGTTGAAACAACTTTACAAAG